GGGGCAGGGCAGGGCCTCTGTGTTGGCGGAAGCGCAAAATGCTGACATCGCTTTGGAACACAGCTTGGCGGTTTCTGGTGAAGAAAATGAAAAACAAAACACATCTCTTACCATTCGACCTGAAATTCCATTCCCAGGCATTTGCCCAGGACAAATGGAAACATGTCCGCATGGCCCCTGCGGAAACAAGCTCCTTACACACACACACACACACACACACACACACACACACGTGCGCACGGTCCGTGGTCCAAGAGTCTGGCTCCGGGGTGAACACCTGCAGGAATAAATACCTGCGCTCCTTAGAAAAGCCTGAACGCGGCCTGGAGCAGGGCCGGGACGCGTCTGGGGTGGTCGAAACGTTTTACGTTACGATGGAGATGTTTACGTTTGTCAAAACTCACCGAGATGTTTACTTAACATGGGTGGATTTTATATTTGGAAATTGAACGTTGCTAATGATTTAAAACAACGCTGTTACCCCCGCGGCCTGAGGAACCAACGCTGTCGATGCAGCTCGGCCAGGACAGCCTCCTGAAAATGCAGAGCCGGCGTGTTTGTCGCCTGCTTAAGGCCCTTCAGAGGCTCCTCTTATTCTCCAGTCCCTTGCGAGCTCCCTGCCCTGTGCACAGGCTGCTTGACCCCGGCCCCCCCACCCCACTGCCCCCAACGTGTCCGCACTGCCCAGTGCTGCAGCCCAGCCTCGTCAGATGCCGATGAGGTGGTGGAGTTTCCTTGGGGAACCTCCTGGTGTCACTTTGTACCGGGCACCAAACATGCAGTGGCCGGACTTTCTGGTGGTCCGTGGGAGACCCCAGCACGTCACGAGATCTGTGGTCATGAACAAGGCCCCTGGCGAGCGCGGGCGCAGCGGGAAGGTGGCTGGCTGGCTGGCTGCGGGCTGTGCGCTGTGCTCCGCACGGTGTTCTGAGCTCCCGGCTCTCGGCTGAGACTTGCCCTCATGGGGCTGGGTTCACTCGCAGTCACCAAGCAGCGCGCTTCTCCTTCCTCGGGCAGCGTCTTGGCCGTCCGGTTTCGGGCGGTGGGAAGTCCGAGGCCCTCTGCCCTGGTCGCTGGAAGGTCCTAGTCAAACAGGCTTGTCTTTTGTACTTCCCCTGAGATGGCATTTAGGACAACAGAAGAAGGTGTTGCTTTCACTTTGCAGAGTCAAACCCAACAGAAAAACCAACCTGGCGTCCTGCCCAGGGAGAGCGGGCTGCGCCCGTGGAGATCGGGGGACCCCGGCACGACAGGGGAGCGCCCCTCGGCATCTCCCCTCCACCCTTCCTCCTCCATCTCCGCTGTGGCCATGTACCAGTCCCGCCCCAGACGGCACGTTTGTTGACACCTTGCTCTTGTGTCCCTGCCCCTCAGCTGCCCGCGTGCTCGCCGATGCCTTGCTCTCGAGGACGGCACGAGAACTGGGGGCAATGCCACGTTTGCTCAGGGGACCCATGGGAATGGGTCTCCTGGGGTAGGACCTGAGCTCCCGCCAGGCTCCCAGTGGCACCTGGGTTTCTTGACGGGGCGTGGCCTTGCCCCCATTGTGTTTTCTGATGTCGGGTGGCTTCCTCTGTGTGGTATGGGGTTACCATTGACGACCGTTGTTCCCTGCAGAGAAGTCGCCCTGGCCTCAGCCTGCGCCTGGGAGGTGGCTGCCATGAAGCTCCGAGGAGCTGGGGCTTCCCCGTGAGCCACCTCCGCTGAAGCAGCCAACGGCCCAGTGAGTTTCCGCCCAAGTGCTGCCGTTGGTGAAAGGGGCCGCTGACCCCAGCGGGCTCTCCCCTGAGGTCACGCACCCCCAGAGCCTCGTCTGGGGGCCTGGGGCCCTCTGGCTGCTCATGGGGCACGGACGTGCCGAGGTCCTTCCCTCACAGTCCCCATCAAAATGGGCCCTTCGTCAGCCCTCGCTTTCTGCTCCCCAGCCAGAGCGGGAGGGGGACCGACAACAGCAGCCTGTGGCCAGGGTGGGGGCGAGGGGAGATCTCTCCCAGCCTCGCCTCGCCCCACGCAGCAGCCCTGTCCTGGGAAGGTTCCAGCCCCGGGGCCCTGGGGCAGCCTGGTGGGAGGAGGGACGGGCGGCCACCCCAGGGCTGGTGGGGCTCCCTGCCTCCCTCCCCCAAGGGATCCTGGGAGGGTGGCGTTGGTTAAATTGCACACGTGTGTCTGTAAGTGGCCTTGCCTGTCAGTGGCACATTGCGGCAGTTTTAAAACACGGCTGCAAATTCTTTGACACTTCTTCCCAGGGACAAAGGCCCGCGTGTCCTCTCCCTGAAGGAGGGCGGGCGTGGGGTCACTGCTGCTGCCCATACCGAGGGGCAGCAGTGGGGCTCTGTTGCCTCCCCACCGGGCCACACACGGCCGCTCAGCTCCTGCTTGTCGCACTGGAGCACTCGCTCTTGGGACCCGGAGCCACTGCGGCGGAGGAGTGACTGGTTCGAGGTGGCCGGGCCGCGGAGGCCACATGGAAAGACCCCGCGCTGAGAGCTGCCCCTCCAGGCCCGGCCGCTCCAGCCCCGTCCCGCGGCGCCTTCCTGCCAGTGCGCCCAGCGCTGGGCGGACGCTTCTTTCTCCCGCGCCTCACGGCCCCTGGCGCTCAGCTGCGGCCCTGTGTGTGCCGCCGCCACCGCGGGGCACACGTATGATTTCTGGACCCCGCCGTTCTGGTTGACGCCCCCCGAGGGTGCTTGGGTGGGCCCCTGATTCCATACAAATTCCACATGTGGACTCAGGGGGACGGGAACCCTGGGCTGGTCCATGAGGCGCACGGAGACCCCTGTAGATTCTAGTGAGAAGGGGGACGTCTGTCTTCACGCCTTGTCGCCGTCAGGCACTGGTCTGTGTCCCTCACTCCCTCTCCTCTCCAGTCTTTCTGCACTTTATCAAAAAAGAAATCCTTCTTTTTTAGAAAATACTTTGTTTTTCTCTCACCTGTCCTTGAAAAAGCATTTATTTGGAAACTCCCCAAAAGAAATTAAAGCAGGCCGCACTCTTTAACATGTTTAAAGCAAGTTGTTTTGGGATCCACAGGGTCAGGCATATGGAGCCCTATGTGCCCCTTTGCAGCTCGGCAGCCAAGAAAACACCCCAAGGAGGAGGTTGCGGGAGAGACTGTGGGGGGACGTGCCCTTGAAAGAGAGTGGGGAGGCCGGTGGGTGAGGCTGGGGGCGCGGCAGGCCTCCTGCAGGGCTGACCTCGGAGGGGGCGCGGAGGCAGCAGGCTGGGTGGGGCTGCAGCCGGGGCGGGTCCCACAGAGCAGGGGCTGGGGCAGCCCTGGCTTCCCGGGTACCTGTCAAAGGAGGCGACTGACAGGAACCGGCCTTAGCGCCCACGCCCTGCTCTGTCATCAACTGGGGCGCAGGGGGAGGGGGGCACTTCCTCAGTGACGTCCCCATGGCAGGACCTCAGGGAGGTGTGTTTGCTGGGCCAGCAGCTCCCTATTAACGAGCACCCCAAGCAGCATTGGCGATAGCTCAGAAATACCACTTACATGTGACTTTTTCTTCCCCCTCTGCAGCTGTTCATAGACCCTAATGCAAAGGACCTGGTCCCCCATATGTGGATGGAGAAGAGAAGTGGGTCCTGTCCCTGCAGGGACCCTGACACGTCTCTTCCTCGTCCCGCCGCCCCTGCCCACAGGCGGCCGCTGGCTCTGCTGCACACAGGAAGGTGCAGCCCGCCCACAGGGGCGAGACTGGAAACCTGCCCGAAATCCCCGCGCCCCCTCACAGCCGGTAAATTCACCGTCTCCGACCAGCCGTTTCCCAGAATCGCCACCATGCTCATCACATGGCAGACTTGCATCTCATTTCAGGCTGCGCCGGTGCCTCGTTGCCGTCAGCCCCGAGAAGGGTGATGGGGAGCCGGTGCTGAGGGGGCACCAACGTGCGCCAGGCGTGGTGAAGGGGGCGACACAGGCCACCTCGCTCTGCGTGGCCTGAGGCCACTGTGTCCCCTTGTCCACCCCCGGGGCACACGGTGAGCGAGGGACCGAGTCGGGTCCTCTGTCCGCGATCGAGCGCTCTGCCTGGTCCCACGGCTCTCACCCGCGCATCGGATGGCCCAGGCACTCGGGGCGCTGGCCTAGAGCAGGGCTCTGTCAGGGGCTCTCCAGCCGGCGGCAGGTGGAGACGCAGGGGGCGCTCTCGCCTCCCCTCCTGTTTTGCCCCCTCCAGTGCCGAAGTGTCCCGCGGTGTTGCCGGGGCAACGCGCGACAGTCACCAGGGCTTGCCGACCCCCTCCCACCCCGTCGGGCACAGTGGCACCGAAGATATTTTTTGCAGGTGACATTGACATCATGGACTACGGCTGATTTTGAAGTGAGCGGTTCAGCGTTGCTTGGCGCGTTCACACAATGCAGTGTAAACACCACGTCTGTGTGATTCCCAAACATCTTTGTTGCAAAACAAAACCCTGTGCCTGGGGAGCAGTGAGCACCCCCTTCCCACAGCCCCTGGTACATGCCCATTTGCTTTCTGTCTGCACAGGTCTACTTTCGGATTTTTCACAGATTGGCTTCTTTCCCTTGGCATCATGTTTTCGAGATTCGTCCACAACCTTCCTTTCGTGGCTGAATGGCGTCCTGTACCGTGGTAGCCCCTCCCGTTGATGAACATGTGGGCCATTTCCACCTCTTGGCTCCTCCGCGTCATGCTGCTGTGACCGTTCGTGCTTCAGTATTTGCCTGAGCCCCGGTTCTCAGTTCTCCTGGGCACATGCCCTGAGGAGTGGGGTTGCTGGGCCGCGTGGTCATGCCTCCGAGTTTCTGAGGAACTGCCGGGTTTCCACAGGGACAGCACCGCAGCCAGTCCCACCAACAACCGAGCGGAGTTCCAGTTTCTCTGCGTCCTCACGTCTCAGGCTGAACGACCACAGGCAGGATGGGGAAGTGGGGCCTCAGAGACGGTTTGAACTTTTACTTTTACATACGGCCTACGCAGGAGAATGCCCGGGGGGACGGAGGCGGCCGGTGATGCAAACAGAAATTCCACTGGCGACAGATGTCACTGTGTGTCACATCCCGCCGCATTCTGAGCTCTGGTTTCACAGTCACCTCAGCCTCTTCCTGGGCAACAGCTCGGGACGCAGCTCTGTGGGCGCGGAAGATGACCGACTGCGAGTTCGGGTACGTGCAGGCGCTCGCCCAGGACTACCTGCGGTATGTCCTGCAGATGCCGCAGCCGGGGGCCCGCCCAAGCAGGACCTCCCAGCTGCTGCAGGATGTTGCGTTTTCAGTCCAAAAAGAAGTGGAAAAGAATTTGAAACCCTGCTTGGACAGCCTCGATGTCGCGTCCGTGGACGCTGCCCGGACACTTTTCCACATGGTGATGCAGAAGGAGTTTGAGGACGGCGTCATTAACTGGGGCAGGATTGTGACCATATTCGCCTTTGAGGGGGTTCTCATCAAGAAGCTCCTCAGAGATCAGATTGCCTCGGACGTGGACACTTACAAGTGCAAGGAGATTTCTCACTTTGTTGCTGAGTTCATAACAAAAAACACAGGGGAATGGATACGGCAAAACGGAGGCTGGGTGAGTCGGCTTCATTGCTCTTTACTTTGAAATAGGAATTTATAGTTTCCTCGTTAATTAAATGTACACACACACACACATGGATTATATTTTCAAGCACATCTGTAACACATCTTTAGAATCAACAGTGCAGAGCCTAGTCTAGGGCTTTGTGTGTGTTAGGGTTGCCATGACAACGTAGACTTAGCAGCATAAGATTTGGTATTAGATGTGGTTATATGTAGGTTATTTATTATGTTGCAAAAGGTAGGTGTAAATTTTTGCACATTATTGCTTACTAATTGATCTCCCCACCCCCCCACCCCCGTTTTCTAATAAAACGAATTCTGGCTGGTAAAGCTTGATGATAAAAAGTAATGGGCTGCACCACCAGCAAGAAACTTTTTTCAAGCACTCCCGAGTGAAAATTGTCTTTTATAATCCACGCTTTGAAAAGCCAGGACCACGCGAGGGGCCGACATCGGGACCCCCGTGGAACAGGGCCCCTTGCAGCTGGCGTCCCCGCTCGCCTCTACATCCCAGGGCGGAGCGCTGAGCTTTCCAAAGCGCCGAGTCCTGGAAACCCTCTCCCCAACGCCCAGCCCCAGCCCTTCCCTCTCTCCAGGGGGCACCACTGTTATCAATTATTTTTCATGCAACCCACGGCTCCTGGATGGAGCCATAGAAAATACACATAGTGCCTCTTTGTAAGAAAGGTTTTTTTATGTGTGTAAGTAGTACAGGGTACTTCTGCTTTTTCTTCACCCCAGGGTATTTAAAACAGTCTTTTAAAAAGCGTGCTACATACCACGTATGCTATTGTGCGCAAATGCTATCGAGTAGCCACTTGGAGCGGACACTTAGGCCATTCCCGCAGTTTACCATCCCGCACGATGCTGCCCGTTGCGGGTGCGTGTTTTAATTGACTAGATCTTCTAGGTCACACGCCCATCACCGCGTGTGAGGGCGTTAGAGCAATCTCCTAATTTCCCCACTCTTTTCCGCTCAAAATAGATCCCTCATTTACCTCGTTTCATTCTAGTTTCCTTGATTACTAGTGAGGTCAAGCACCTTTTTATACGCTTACTGACCACTGGCAATTCTTATTTAGGGAATTGTCTATTTATACTCTTTAGCCATTTTCCTATTCTTCTTACTGACTTGTGCAAATTTTTTGAATATTCTGGATAGAAACTACTTTCATACATAGGGCAGAGACCTTCCATCTGGCTGCCTCTGGAAGCTGTAGATGTCTTCGGTCATTATAAATGCTTTAAAACTTGATAGAACCCTATTTCTTGGTGCCTTGCACTGTCCTGCAGAGGGAGAGGGGGCGCCGGAGGCCCTCCCGGTCCCACCGGCCTCCAGGGCCGGCGCCCTTGCCTCCGGACTCAGCCTGGCTTGGGGCCGGGCGAGGTGTCTGACATCGGACATGTTTTCTTCCGGTGCCCGCGTTGTGGGGACGCACAAACACGCGCGGGCGCCCCACGCGCAGGCCGCGCCTGCACGGAGGCCTTAGGCAGGTTCCAGGCCCCGATCACTTCCGTCTGAGTCACGAGGGAAACGCTTTGCAAGGTGTCCTTTCACAGCCACCTCCGCCTCCCTTTCCCGGCTCCGTGACACCGGATCCTGCTCACGGGAAGCGGGTCCCTTGTGCTGTTCTGGTGCTGTAATGAATGAACTTCCTCCCGAATCAGTCCGTGGGTGGGGGAGGGGCCCGCCCGCGACTGTGCCGGTGGAGCCCCGAGGGTCACAGGGTGAGGGGGCGGGGCCTCCCCCAGCTGTAACCAGACACCGGCCAGCGCCGCCCTCCGGGCCCCGCCCGCCGCCAGCGCGCCTTGGCGTCACGGGTCCCAACGGTCTCCGAACTGCAGGGGGACAACACCCATCATTGAGTTACATGGCCAGCGGCCCAGGGATTGCAAACAGCTTCTGGGCCAGGAATGTGGTGCCTCTGAGGCCGACGGACCTGAGATCCAGCGCGGCCTGCCCGGCTCGCTACCTCCGCGACTCATCCAGTGGCTTCGCCGCTCCGAGCCCGGGTCCCTCCTCCGCGACCCGGGGAGACGGCTGCCACCCGCCTCCGGGGACGGTCTGAGGGCGCGATCAGCAACGCTGCGCCCAGAGCAGCCTCTGCAGCAGAGCGCTATTCCGTAGGTGCCGCTGTTATCGCCAGCGGCAGTATTGCCTAACGTCCCTGCATTGGTGTATTAAATCTCCATTAATTATGTGATCGACGACAGTTAGACGTTAGTCACCATCTAAACAGATGCCCCAGAGGGGGAAAAGACCAGTGTATCTACAGTGGGACTTAGAAGCTACTAATTTATTCTTTATTTTTATCGGCATGCATTCCTCCCTCCCTGCCTGCCTGCCTCCTTTTGGAGCTTCTCTCCTCCCGTTTCATTCCCCTTCCCCATTGATGGTTACTTCCTTCTGTCCCCTGGGCCCCGGGAAGTGCTGAGGATGACTGGGCTCTCGCAAGACCTGACGGGAGGGCGAGGGCGATTCTCTGCTGTGTTCAGCATTCTCGAGGCAACGCTGTCTCCTGAAAGCGCCCGGACTGCGGGCTCTCGGTTCCTCGGGCGCCAGGGGCCTGTCCCGGGACAGCGGCCCCCGCCCCGCGCGCGCGCCAGGGGCGGGGACGGCACCCTCGCTCCGCGCAGGCTGGCCCAGGTCCTTCTGCTGAGAACGCGCCGGCAAAGAGGTGTTGAGAGACGGTGAACGAAGGGACACAGGAGCTGAGGTCCGAGCCCTGGTCTTCCCAGTCTCCAGAGGTGCGGCCTTGCGTTAGCGGTGGCCCTGAAGCCACCGGAGAGTCCGCGTCCTTGTATACAACGCCCTTCCTTTCCCATCACGTCACATTGTGTCGCAAAACACAAGGACTGGACTACCTACCTTAGAAGGGAAGCCCCAATATTTCAGAACGTCTTCCTGAGGGCCCTGGAAACCGTCAAACACAATGTAACTGTGAAAGTCACATGGGAACCCCCGCCTAGTTTCCATGTAGAATTCTTAGAACGACGCTAGTACGGACAGAAAGCCCCCGCGCCAGCGCAGATGTGCGGTCAGGACTGGTGCTTTCCAAGCAACCAGCATAGAAAAGTCTGAGTCATCAGAGTTAGGGCAGCAGGGTTCCTGCTTTCACGATCTCCTTTAATGTCCTTGGTGTTCATCACACTAGATGCAAAGGCGTTCCTGACCCCAGGATGTGGAGCTGGCTCAACGCGGAGCACGTGTTTGCTAGATGAACGCGTGTAAAGATCTATTCACCAATTTTCTAACCCATTTGGTGGTTGCTTGGAAATGCATGGTGTGAAAAGCAGTGTTTGCGTTCCAGCACGGGCCCAGGCACTGAGAGGCCGGTCTCTGGGTAACACACTTTATTCTAGGCCTCAGTTTCCTCATTTGTCAAAGGCCGGCTGGTCTCAGAGGTGCTTTTCGGTGAGGATGAGCCATAATTATAGCTCATAAATGAAATACAATGCCCAATCCGTACTCTAGTTTTTAAACACTATGAGGGAAAAGAAAATGAATTGTAATAGACACAATCACTGGCTCAGAAGCACCGCTTTAATGTCTTTATTGTGAGTCTTCATGACTCTTGGCATAATACAGTTACAACTACAGGGGCGTATTTCAGTGCCAGACAACTGAGAGGGAAAGCCGTGGGGGAGGGGACTCTCTAGCCTCTAGAGCTTCTGTCCAGCATGGTAGCCACTTGTCCCTTGGGACAGTTGAAATGTGGGTAGTCTGAGTGAAGATATGCTGTAAATACAAAATACGCATCGGATTTTAAAGATTAGATAACGAAAAAAAAAATCAGATCCTCATTAATAATTTTCATATCGGTTACACGTTAAAATCATATTTTAGATATATTTCAAAAATCAATTTTGCCTATTTTTTTCCTTTCAAAATGTGGCCACTAAAGAAGTAAAATTACATATGTAGCTTACACTATGCTATTTTGCCATGTATAACGTGCGCCACGGTTCTGTGTGCATTATACACGGGATTGTACCCGTTATTGCACCTATGGTGTGTAATCATTATACTCATGTATAATGCACCTTATTTTTCCCTCAGAAATTTGAGCAAAGAAGTGCCCACTGCACACAGAAAATTACAGTATGTTGTTACCGAGTGTGCTGCTCAGGGTCTGGAATCAGACACTGAGAAAGATGATGGCGAACAGAATAAAAGTCGTGAAGCCACGAAGATTAACCATTTGCATTATTTAAACGAAAGTTTGTTTTTATTCCAGCACATTTAGTCTCTACTGCTTTTTAAAAATGTTTAATCTGTTCTCTCATAGGAAAATGGCTTCGTAAAGAACTTTGAACCCAAAACTGGTTGGCGGACTTTTCTGGAAGTTATAGGAGAGATCTGCAAAATGTTCTCTCTCCTCAAGCAATACTGTTAACTGAGAAGGACACTCTGCATTGTGAAACCTACAGAATTTTCTGGACTCTTACAAGAGGAATTGCCAACACTTCTTCTAAACAACGTTCATGATGCAACTTGGATGTTCCAGTCAACAGAACTTTTGCCCTCATTTCAATGAATAAATTGAACGTACGTGTCCCTCTGTGTAGTCCGTGTCCTGCCTGGGAGTCCATCTGAGAGGTGAAGCTCAGTACAAGGGACAGGTATCAGGTTAAGGGGATGAGAAAGAGGAAGGTGTTGGCTTCTGCCCCGTGGTAGGTGCTCTTAAGGGTGTGCCCATCACCCAGAAGTCATTTTCGCTGCCACTGGTGTGGACTGCACCGTGGGCGAGCTGGCTTCCCCCTCCCTCTCGGCCCTGCCCTTTGTCGGACCCAGTGTGCCTGTGCGGTCAGCTTTCCCTCGAAGCCTCCGCCAACCTTCCGTCCTTGGCCTGCCGCTGGGAGCGACGGACGTGGGAGCCCGCTGCTCAGCACGCAACGGGACAGCGGGAACAGCGGCAGGCCAACGATTTAGTGTTGCCGTCACTAACCCTTTGAGCGTGTCACCCATTAGAAAACTGTCTTTCGTTAGACCGTGTTCCAATTTTGAGGTCAGCAAACTAGACTGCGGTGTGGGAGCTGTGTCCCTTGCCCCAGACGGCCCCACTCTTCCTCCTCCTCCCACCGGACAACCCCCTTCCCACGGGGAGTGCACTGACGTCCCGGTGAAGTCGCAGGTACCGTCCCTATTGTACTCTTGAGGAAACAGGCTTAAGAGCAGGAAGAGCTTTGTCCAAGGTCATGGGGCTGGTGGGCGCGTCACACAGACCCCCAAGCCCATGCCGGTCCTTGCAGCCCTGAGCCTTCTCTCCCTGCAGCGCTGCCCCCTGGGCACGTGGTGCCACCAGGCCCTCTGCTTCCTTTCCCATCCCCTCACAGGGCGAGGCTGCCTGTCAGTGGCAGCTGGGAGAAAGGGGTTTCCCCACCCTGATGTGGGTCTGCAGCTGCCAGGGCAGCGTCCCATGTGCTCCCTGTACTATCCCCGCCTTACACCTGGTCGCCATGGTTCTGGGTCTGGAAACTTGTACCAGAGGGGAAAGCTGCTTTGTAAAATAAGCGTGCATGACAATAACACTAACCCCTTCTTCGTAAACAGTAGCTCTGCGTGACTGTTTGTGCTGGGAGATGCTCGGAGGGGCACAGAGGGAGGGCAGCGCGTGGCTCAGTCACTCCTGCCGGGTCGGCGGGTCCTCTGATTCATCTGCCTTATGACCGACGGCAGGATTTTCACCCGGAGGAAGCCTAGGGCTGTGGCTGCCTTCGCGGGGCAAAACTAACGGGCTCACAGGAGAGCCAAACCCATGACTAAGGTTCTCCAAAGGTTCAAGTGGAAGGCTGATGACCGTGCCGTTTGAGCAAGAGAAGGGCGCGTACACAGGAAGAGTTTACTAGAGACACTTGCAACACCATTTAGGCAACTGAATTCGCATTGCCCTTGCTTCCTCTTTCACCGAGAACTTCCACATCCCGGATCCATGCTGACCTACCCACCCTGCATCTATACGGGCCTATCCTTCCTCCTGCCTGTCGCGGTGAATCAGTTGGCCTAGGGCCAACCCCTAATATTTGTGTGCCCGACCGCATCCCTTACTGCCTCTGCAGGGACATCTCTTTGGCCTCACTCTTCTGCATCAGAGTTTCCCTCTCTCCACACACTTGCTGTCATTTCTCCTACGTGACGTTTGGCAGTGGTGTGACCGGTAGGTAGACTTGAACACCCGTTAGGAGCTGTCTGTGGTAGATGGTTGGTAAGTGCTTGTTGACTTACACTTAACTAAACTTCATGTATCTATTTGTGTGTGTGTATTTAATACCAGGAGTTTACACTGACACTTTTAATTCCCATACAACAGCATAGGGTTCAAGCCAAGCTTCCTCTCTCTTTATTTGTAAGTTGTGTTTCTGGAAGGCAGAAACGTGACTCTCATTATCCACATGATGTTTACTTATTTGTTCAATTCTGTAATACGGGTAAAGCAGTTTCACAGTTGCTAAATTATAACCCTACAAAAAACAAACGCAACCACAGTGCAATATTTGTATAAAGTTATTTTTGTCTTTAGCCTTAACATTGAGTCCAAATACTGTTTTCCAAAGTTACTTAAGCTCTTTTCTTCTCCACCCATTGGGCTGTGGGTATGTTAATCATTTACAACACAGTTCGGTTTGTTTGTCCCTGCCTGTAGTCTGCTTTGGCCTACCCCCACACCCTGGTTGCATGTATGTAAGCAAGTAGGCAAAATATCGCCATGGCTCTAAGCATCAGAGATACAAACAAAAGTGCCACGAGAGAAATGTCACTCTCTCTTCCTTGCTGCTGCTCCGTTCCATTTTCACATTCTTTTTCCCCTTTCCTCACTCATTCCCTATAGGTACCCAAACTTAGGGTCTGGTGCACATGTACTGCATTTTTCCAGAAATGCGCGGAAACTTTTATATTTTCTTGTATCTCTTTTGTCTTATGGAAATATACTTCACACTGAATTCACCCTTTTAAAATATACAATTCAAAGCCTTGGCCAGGTAGCTCCGTTGGTTAGAGTATCGCCCTGACACGCCAAGGTTGCAGGTTCCATCCCTGGTCAGGGCACAAGAATCAACCCACGAATGCAGAGATGGGTGAACAACAAATCCATGTTTCTTTCTCTGCCTTCCTCTCTCTCTCTCTAAAAATCAATAAGAACTTAAAAAATGTACAATTTGGTAGGTTTTAGCATATTCACTGTTGTACAACTATCACAATTGAATTTTCATCATCCCCAAAAGAAATCCTTTACCCTATTGCTCTTGTCTCCAGCCCAAGGCAACCACTAACCAGCTTTCTGTGTCTCTGCCTGTTCTGGATATTTTCCTATAACCGGGATCATAGAGTATGTGGCCTTTGGGGTTTGGCTCCTTTCACTTAGCATACACTTTCCAAGGTCCTTCCATGTTGCATCATTTTAATTCCTCTGGGTGTGAGGGTTTCGATTTCTCCACATCCTCACCAGTCCCTTTCTCAGTTTTATTTTTTTTTAAAATTACAGCCAGGCTGGTGTGCGTTAAGTGGTATCTCTTTGTGGTTTTGATTTGCATTTCCCTAACGACTAATAACGTTGAAATCTTTCCATGTGCTTATTGGCCATCTGTAGAAACATCTACTCGAGACCTGTGCCCATTTTAAAACTGGATTATGTCTTTTTTTAAACTGCTGAGTTGAAAGAGTTCATGCACCGTTCTAGATTATCAAATAATATGATTTGCAAATATTTCCTCCCATTCTCTAGGTGGCCTTTCCATTTTCATAGAGTCCTTCGATGCACATGGTTTCAAATTCTGATACATTCTCTGTTGCTGCTTGTGTCTACTGTCCGCTTGTGCACCCGAGCGGCACTGCCACGTTAACCGTAGCCTTTACACCTCCATGTCTGGAAGGGCCAGTTCCCCGCTGCGATCTTCAGTTCCAGTGTTATCCTAGCTATTCCTGAATGCTTGTTTTTCACAAGCACTTTCGTAAAGATGATTAACATAAAACGCGGTCTTTTTCTTTTTTTTTCTAAACTTGCAATTATCTTAGAGTTTTAATTTCCTTACCCGTTGGACCCTCCCCCCCTTCTTTCGATTCCTAAACGTCACCTGCAACACCCGAGGCCCTGAACGCGTAAAGAGCAGGGGTGGCCTGCGGAGGTCGCCCGGAGGGGCGGGGCGGGGGCGGGGCACCCACGATCCGGAAGCCGCCAGACCCTCCCCCGGCCAGCGGGATCAGCGGCGCGGACTAGGCGTGAAGGCAAGTCGTACCTCTGACATGGCGGCGGCGGCTGTGAGCGGCGCCAAGCGGAGCCTGCGGTCCGAGCTGAAGCAGCGCCTGCGGGCCATCAGCGCCGAGGAGCGGCTGCGCCAGTCCCGCCTCCTAACCCAAAAGGTGCGCGACTACAGAGACGACTGCGGGTCGGACTTACGGCCGCGCCACGCGGGCTTGCGGGCTCTGGCGCGCGCACTGCGCGCACGACCCTCACGTGCTCACCTGCCCCCAGTGCGTGCACGTCCCCTACCCCCGGCGCGCGCACGTCTCTCACCGCCCCGCCCCCGCCGCACTTCTCCGCCCCCTCGACGCACGCACGTTTCCTCCGTCACGATGACGTCCTTTGGAGCGTGTCTGGACGCTCTTAAGCACGAGGTCCGCGCGCGCGTGCTGCTGGGAGAGCGACAGGGCTAGTGGGAGGGCGGAGCGCGTGACTCTGTCCTTCCGGCGAGGCCCGCGTGGTGGTGGTGAGAGCCCTTCGGTGGGGCTGCGGCAGGTGCGAACGGAGACAGCCGGTGGGGGCCTGGCGGGCCCCAACTGAGGTGCCTTCAGTCGGCGTTGGAGGCCGCGAAGCAGGAGCGGAGGCCAAAAAAGACTGGAGAAACGCAGTTCCTTAAGTCGAAGACCCCGCACGGTCGGGCAGAGGCGCTAGCGAGCGAGGACCCCACTGACGGAGAGGAAGGCCGCCATCTTCGCCTCAGGGCCTAGCGTCTCCGGGTCGGGCCAGAGGTGACCAGGGCGTGCTTTTCTGCGCTGATGAAAGACTCCCGGTCCTCCTGCCCCCGCCGAAAGCGGAGGGGGAAAGTGGGGGTGGGGGGGGAAGGAGGGTGCCCGTCTGCGGGTGCGAAACCTCCTGTTGGTGACTTTCCCCGCCGGCGAGCGGTGTAGCTCAGGCCGTTCCGTAAGGGACGCGGGTTTTCTCGGCAGGAAAACGTGGCGACCATTTCAAACGTCTGCGGGACTGGTGTGGGTGGGACTCCAGAGGAGAAAAATTGATGTCCCACGAGTAAATAAATAGTGTTTATTTTCTCAGTAATTTAGAAAACACATGTTCTTTAGTTACAGTGGACGTACAATGTTATGAGATATACAACACAGTGGATGGTGAACGTATTAATACTTTGTACTTTAGAAAATATTTTTCTCTTCCTATTCAGGGGATAGTTTGAAATTTCTTTTAGGTTTTTTTTTTTTTTTTTTTTTGAGGCGGGAAAGGGAGAGAAAGGTCGGTGCGTGGTTACCGCGCGCGCCCCTCCCCCCGCCCTCACGACGCGGCCGGCCACGCGGG